ATAAACCTTAAAAGGCAGTCGGAACATTCAGGGCTTTGCCCTGATACGAGAAGTCTTGTTGTTCCGACTTTCGATACGAAAGAAACGGAATATTTGTGCTCGGGGTGGGTTTTTTTTCTTCAGACAAAATTTGACTTTTTAACTAGCCATTTTTGACGGAAATTTTTTTATCACTCGAAAGCTATTGTTGTCCTGAACTTAAAATTTGAAAAGATATTTCACCTGTGATCATTTTTTGTAAAGTTATGAGGGTTTAAAAATTGCCATTTTGGCCATTTTGACCAATTTGGGACAATTAACGCGCGATATAATTCGCGCTAATAACGCGTAAGCGGAGATTTAATCCGTCTTAGAAATCGTTCCAAATTGGTTTAAAGAAGCTTATTTGCCATAATTGATTTGTTACAAGGAGCAAAGTCTATTGTTTTGTATTTTATATGGCGTGTGGGGGGATTATTTTCATAGAAAAATTTTCAAATTTTAGAAAAAAAAGTTTTTCATTTTATTTTATTTCATTTAATTTTTTTATGTATTACTGCTGCTCAATAAACCTTAAAAGGCAGTCGGAACATTCAGGGCTTCGCCCTGATACGAGCAGACTTGTATGAGTTGAAATTGAATTGACCAATGATTTGAGAATTTCTTTGTGTTTTGATTTGATAGAATAACAAAATTTGCGTTGCTAGAGGATACGTTTGCGACAAAGCAGTTTTTACAAACCCACAGTTTATATGTTTCTTTGCTTCTTTGGAGAGGGATTCACATGACCCATGGAACTATTTTTCATATTTCTCACCTTTCATTGTAGAGACATCGTCATCTTTCACAAACTTCTTGTAACTGCATTTGCTTAAGTTTGTGGATCCGATTCTTTAACTTGGAGCAGGCATTTGAGAAAAAAATCGAAGTAAAGAATGCGGTAAAGTGAAGTTAGGGTGAAGTGAATGAAAAGAAAAGAAGCTACAAATCAAAACAAGACTGCTCGTATCAGGGCGAAGCTCTGAAAATTCCGACTGCCTTTTAATGTTTATGGAGCAGTAAATACATAAACAACATAAAAAAATTAAATGAAATAAAATAAAATGAAAAACTTTTTTTCTAAAATTTGAAAATTTTTCTATGAAAATAATCCCCCCACACGCCATATAAAGTACAAAGCAATAGACTTTGCTCCTTGTAACAAATCAATTATGGCATATAAGCTTCTTTAAACCAATTTGGAACGATTTCTAAGACGGATTAAATCTCCGCTTACGCGTTATTAGCGCGAATTATATCGCGCGTTAATTGTCCCAAATTGGTCAAAATGGCCAAAATGGCAATTTTTAAACCCTCATAACTTTACAAAAAATAATCACAGGTGAAATATCTTTTCAAATTTTAAGTTCAGGACAACAATAGCTTTCGAATGATAAAAAAATTTCCGTCAAAAATGGCTAGTTAAAAAGTCAAAATTTGTCTGAAGAAAAAAAACCCACCCCGAGCACAAATATTCCGTTTCTTTCGTATCAAAAGTCGGAAAAACAAGACTTCTCGTATCAGGGCAAAGCCCTGAATGTTCCGACTGACTTTTAAGGTTTATGGAGCAGCAGTAGTAACATAAAAAATTTAATGAAATAAATCAAAATGAAAACTTTTTTTCCAAAATTTGAAATTTTTTATGAAAATCATCCCCCACACGCCATATTAAGTACAAAAACATAGATTTCGTTCCTTGTAACAAATCAATTAGGGCAAATAAGCTTCGTTCAACCAATTTGGAACGATTTATAATACGGATTAATTCTCCGCTTACGCGTTAATAGCGCGAATTATATCGCGCGTTAATTGTCCCAAAATGTTCAAAATGGCCAAAATGGCAATTTTTAAACCCTCGTAACTTTACAAAAAATGATCACAGGTAAAATATCTTTTCAAATTTAAGTTCAAGACAACAATGGCTTTCGAATGATATAAAAAAATTCCGTCAAAAATGGCTAGTTAAAAAGTCGAAATTTGTCTGAAGAAAAAAAACCCACCCCGAGCACAAATATTCCGTTACTTTCGTATCGAAATTCGGAACAACAATCTTCAGTCAACCACTGGAAGTAAATCCGAGGTCGTCAGTTACTTGAACTGCTTGTGGGAAAGATAAAAACAGAACAAAACAGATAGTAGCAAAATATGATAGTAAAATCCATGGTGATAATAAGAAGGGCATATATAAACCATTTCAATGTACTACAAGACCTATCAAGGTTATTCAAATAATTTCAGTACCCAGAATTGACGCTCAGCTGAAGTAAAAAAGAACACATAATTGTCAAAAAAAGAATAGTAAAATAGAATCTACAATAGATGAAGTATCAAAAATTAACACTCAGCTTTAATCATACATCCGGATCTCAGAAACCTCTTTTAGTCAAGGGCTATTTAACCCAGCTCGTTGAAGTATTTCAACATAGAACTACTTATTAAGTTGACCATAACTAATTAATCAATGGTCCAACCATTCTCGTCGATTATCGTCGCACTTCGTTATCAATGGAAACTCTATTTAGTTTGCGCTCAAAAACATTGCTCATATGCACTTTCTTAATTATTGAAATTAGTTTCCCGAAAGTTTTTTTTATCATATAAGTTGTTATTGTTGATCAGGTGCGTATTCATAGGTTCCAAAATGAAAAATCAGTCCCATAGGTTGCAAAATAAAATAGCAGTCGCATAAGTTCCAAATCTTTTCAATTGGCCAAAAGACTAAATAAGCCGAGTCTCGGTTTAAGGTCGCCGGTGGGCGCGCTACGCGCGCGTCGCCGCTTTGCGGCGATAACCGGCTCTAAATTTTGTATAGAGTCCTACCCTTTGGTGGCAAGCTCGCAACACGTTGGCGCGACTGCGGCGGTCACTATTCTGCAGCTTGAGTTTATGCTGGTTGAACAGTAAACAATCAATCCATAAATTTGTTGGCTCAAATTTCAACCAATCAGAATTCAAGAAGATAAATTTTGGAACTTATGCGACTGATTTTTTATTTTGGAACCTATGAATATTGGAACCTATGGGAATTCACCTGTTGATCAATGGAAATTGTTCAGGTCCACTAATCACATAATTTGATGGCCGCCTCAAATTTGTCACTCGCTCAACGATTTGCAAAAAATGATCTCTAGAAAATAAATAAATTACCATTTAAACTTGAAATATTAACCTCTTGTTCCGGGCGAATTTAGGGATTCAACCCCCTGGCGACGCAAAGGGTCTCCCCTTTGTACTATTTTGAGATATCCATTTTTGGTGAGGGACCCTAAAAATTTTCTAAATGCACCTTTGGCGCCAATATGTACAAATTATGTGGGGCGAGCGCGCGCCATAAAAACGCAATTGTTTGGTCAAAGTTTTTCAAAAAGTGCTTTTACCTTAAAAAGGGCCAGATTTGGCCCATTTTTCAAAAATTTTGACCCGTTTTCAAAAATTTCGAAGAACCAGCCCCCCTCCCACCTCGAGAAAATCCCTATATCCGCCCCTGCTCTTGTTAGCCTCAGGCAGGGTGACGTCCCATTTGTACCAACGGTCATTTGTACCAAAATGAAAAATCGGTCCCATTTGTACCAAAATTATTCAACTCGATTTCTGATTGGTCCAATTGCGAGCCAACGAATTATTACATTAATTTTCTACTGTTCAAACAGATGAAAATTAAACAGCAGAATTGTGACCGCCGCAGTCGCGCCAACGTGTTGCGAGCTTGCCAACAGAGGGTAGGACTCTATACGAAAATTAGAGACGGTTATCGCCGCGAAGCGGCGACGCGCGCATAGCGCGCCCACCGGCGACCTTAAACCAAGAGCTTAAAGTAGTCGGCTTAATAGTCTTAGGCCAGTTGAATATTTTTGGTACTAATGGGACTGATTTATCATTTTGGTACTTGTGAATACCCACCTCAGGCAGCTTAATTTTTAACGAGAGGAAAAAAGAATAATGCCAATAATCTGATATCATACTCAATTATACTACTAACTAAACAAATGATCAAACAAGCTTGAGTTGTTTTCGAACGATAAGTCCATAGTTAACTTACAGGTCAAACCGTTCCGATCTTTGTCTTATACATCAGATATTGAATTTGCCGTCCTAATTGTTTATTTCTTAAAGTTTACAAAGCTGCACGACACACCGCAGTAATATTTGCTCAACCACTAAAAAAAGTTAGTTGGACCAAGTTAACATCCTCCAACCCCCCCCCCCCAAGCCGTTTGAGCGGGAGGATGTTAACTTGATCTAGTTATAGTTATCATAATCAATTCTAGTTTTCTATGATAACAAACGAGACAGGGCAGGATTTTTTGGGGAAGAAACGACGCCCCCTCCCTCAGTATTTCCACTCCATGGTGACTCACTGAGTTTCCCTTTTGTACTAGTTTACGACTTTTATTTCTTGTTAAGCAACCATAAAACTTTTCTAAGACGCTACGCCATGGGTGCCAAAGCTTACTGTAATTGAGATGAGAGCGCCTGCAAAAAATCAATTTCGTCTATTTTGTTTTCTAGACCAAAAAATGTCCTCTCAAAGGGTTTTCTGGTTTTCAAATTTTTTCAAAGGGCCCTTTGGTAATATTTTACACCAGCTTTTGGTACAAGAAACATATTTCTTAAGAAGCTTGTGGCGCTGTTTTGTACGTTGAGATGGCAGTGCGCCATGTTTTTTTCGAAGCCAAAAAGTTTTAGAAATACTATTTAATCAAAATTTTCCCAACAGGGGTAAGATCAAATCGAGAATATAATCATTCTAGGAGTTCGACATGTCAGACTTCAGAAAAAAGATCAGCAAAACTGTTTAACAATGCCCCCCCCCCCCCCCTCTTTTCGTTAAACGTTTTCTATGAAAACATTAGAAATTTTGTCTCAAAACTTCCACATTGTTCTTCTTCTATTAAAACTTCTTAAAACGCCATTTTTTCAATAATTACAAAATCTGTTAATTTGGAGCACTATTTTTTTCTTAATTTTTGTACTTGGCACTGCTGAACGACCCTCGTGATTGATGGGCGGGTGTGGGGCTGAGTTTGCTCAACCGGATGGCTACTGGATCCCGGAGACAATTATAGGCTCTCTGGCCGTTCTCGCCAATGGGACTGTGCTGTTTGTCATGCTATTCGGCCAGATCAAGACCAGCTCAACCAACATATTCATCGCTAATTTGGCCACTGTCGACTTCTGTTAGTAAATTTAAAAAGAAATCTGCTTTTATGTGCTCTGCCAAGGCCCTAAAATTTTTTTATTGAGTTGCAATTTTTGAAAAATAAAGCAATTTTTTGAATATTTTTGAAGTCTCTGGAGCACGATAATTTGGGTTTTTGCGCCCACTGTCGATTCAAAGTCGAATGTAATGACAAATTGACACAAACAAAGCCTTTATAAAATTTATAGATGTGGTTTAGTACGCAAAAAGTGGATGTCGTATGACCTATCAAATGAGGAACATTTGGAGCTACACAAGATAAGGATAATTTTCCGACCAAAGCAAGATGGCCAATAGGAAAGAACTTTGAAGAAAAACAAGTTCTGCAAAAACGCGTCGTAGAAATTTTTGTTATTGTTCCGACTTTCGGAATAATTGTGCTCGGGGTGAGTTTTTCTTCTTCAGACAAATTTCGACTTTTTAACTATCTCTTTTTGACGGGATTTTTCTTATATCATTCAAAAGGTATTGTTGTTCTAAGCTTAAACTTGAAAAAATATTTCACGTGTGATTATTTTTCGTAAAGTTATGGGGGTTTAAAAATTGCCATTTTGGCCAATTTGGGACAATTAGCGCGCGATATACTTTGCGCTATTAACGCGTAAGCGGAGATTGAATCCGTTTCAAAAATCGTAACGAATTGGTGAAAGGAAGCTTATTTGCCATAATTGGTTTGTTACTAGGAGCGAAATCTATCACTTTGTATTTTATATGGCGTTCAAAGCCCCGATACGAGCAGTCTTGTTTCATTTTTGAATCAAAGCAGTCGCTAAAATGATAATTAAAAAAATAGAAAAACTGATCTTTGTGCCGTGAAAGTATCCTTGTGATTCATTCCGCAGCGTCAAAACTCAGGTGTTTAATGCAAGAGAAAAACAGCCGTTTTATATAGTTCTGAATCAATTTTTGTGCGTGGTGGATGAAAACATATGACAAAATAGATTCCCGACAGTCACAGTGAAGTAGCCAAATCGAGCAATAGCTTTTGTCAAAAATTGTCTTGAAAAAAAAAACGAAACTCAATTTTTTTCAATTGTTTTTTGCAGAAATTGCTTTGAATAGGGTCTTTGTAGTGCTTTGGGAGAGCTCGGGAAATCAATTTGGTCGGCCTTAAAAAGAAAAAAACGTCGACAGAATTTTCGATTTTTTTTTTGGAAAATCCGCCTCCCCCCTCGAGAAAACTTTAAAACCGCCCCTGTTTCTCCATCTTTTTTTTTAATTGAAGGGTACTTAATTGATGTGTATTATAATTTAATTGAAAAAGGATTTTTTTTTCGTGATTTTTTATTTTCTCACCTGCAGAGTAGGCTTTAGTCCGTGTAGGCTATATCTTTAACCAACATATTCATCGCCAATTTGGCCACTGTCGACTTCTGTTAGTAAATTTAAAAAGAAATCTGCTTTTTTGTGCTCTGCCAAGGCCCTAAAAAATTTTTATTGAGTTGCAATTTTTGAATTTTTTTGAAGTCTCTGGAGCACGATAATTTGGTTTTTGCGCCCACTCTTGATTCAAAGTCGAATGTAATGACAAAATGACACAACAAAGCCTTTATAAAACTTATAGATGTGGTTTAGTACGCGAAAAGTGGATGTCGTATGACCTATCAAATGAGGAACATTTGGAGCTACACAAGATAAGGACAATTTTCCGACGAAAGCAAGATGGCCAATAGGAAAGAACTTTGAAGAAAAACAAGTTCTGCAAAAACGCGTCGTAGAAATTCTTGTTATTGTTCCGACTTTCGTAACAAAAGTAACGGAATATTTGTGCTCGGGGTGAGTTTTTCTTCTTCAGACAAGTTTTGACTTTTTAACTAGCTCTTTTTGACGGGATTTTCTTATATCATTCAAAAAGTATTGTTGTTCTGAGCCTAAACTTAAAAAAAAATTTAACGTGTGATTATTTTTCGTAAAGTTATGGGGGTTTAAAGATTGCCATTCTGGCCAATTTGGGACAATTAGCGCGCGATATACTTTGCGCTATCAACGCGTAAGCGGAGATTTAATTCTTCTCAAAAATTGTTCCGAATTGGTGAAAGGAAGCTTATTTGCCATAATTGATTTGTTACTAGGAGCGAAATCTATCACTTTTTATTTTATATGGCGTTCAAAGCCCTGATACGAGCAGCCTGTTTCATTTTCGAGCCATATCAGTCGCTAAAATGATAATTAAAAAATTAGAAAAACTGATCTTTGTGCCGTGAAAGTATCAATGTGATTCATTCCGCAGCGTCAAAACTCAGGTGTTTAATGCAAGAGAAAAACAGCCGTTTTATATAGTTCTGAATCTATTCTAAAATGAAAAAAAAAACATTTAAAAATTTTTGTGCGTGGTGGATGAAAACATATGACAAAACATATTCCCGACAGTCACACTAAAGTAGCCAAATCGAGCAATAGCTTTTGTCAAAAATTGTCTTGAGAGAAAAAAACAAAAACGAAACTCAATTTTTTCAATTGTTTTTTGCAGAAATTGCTTTGAACAGGGTCTTTGTAGTGCTTTGACAGAGCTCGGGAAATCAGTTTGGTGGGCCTAAAAAAGAAAAAAAACTTCGACAGAATTTTCGATTTTTTTTTGGAAAATCCGCCTCCTCCCTCGAGAAAACTTTAAAACCGCCCCTGTTTCTCCATCTTATTTTTTAATTGAAGGGTACTTAATTGAAGTGTAGTATGATTTAATTGAAAATGAATTTTTTTGGTGATTTTTTATTTTCTCACCTGCAGAGTAGGCTTTAGTCCGTGTTTCACCTTTAAGTAGTTACAATAAAAAATTTCAGCCAACTTTTGCTTTTGATCACACGCGTTCAATTTTATCAATCGGGTAAGCAGTTCATTGCGTGGTATTTTTCAATGGCTGCTGCAACTTTTTTCGCACGAGAAACTCTGGGTATCATCTTTTTGCAGAAACATTTTGTAGTGCGATTCATCGAATATATAAGCTAACATTTTTGCTTAAATTTAGATGGATATTAATCATTATTTTTTGAGAATTTTTTCAAGCCGCTAAAGACAGACCAGTTTTCTCGCACTCTATATTCGAGATCAATCGAAATTCTTCTTCCAAAAAATGATACAGACAGTTGCTCGATAGATCAAAGTCATTGACAGCTACAGCGTAATAAGTGGCTTACCTGATTAATAAAAATTGACTGTGCGTGATAAAAAACTGGCTGAGGTATTTTCGTCACAACATTTAAGTTAGGAAAGTTTTTGCATTCGGTTGCTTGTGTTTTCCACGCAAGCCCTCGAGCTCAAAGTAAACATGAGAGTGTTCTCATTGCGGAAAAAAAACTAAATTCTTCAATTTTTTAAGACCAATGAACTGTGCAACAAAGGACAATAAATAGAATACGGATGCATAGTACTCTATGGTTCTATGGTTCTATAGTTCTATGGTTCTATATGTACAAAGTATGTACATAAGCTTAAAGGTTAAAACGTTAAAAGGAAGTAGCTGAATTAAGAACGTTAAAAAGAACCAACTGAACTTCCGTTCATATCGACCGATGGTCGTAACTAAACTGGTACTAATTAAAATACCGAAGGTCATTATAAGATACTAAAAACAAATCACAACATTTCCCACCGGGAAAAAAACGAAACTGCAAACTAACTATATAACTCTATATACACCCTTTTTCCCCCTCCGAAAATGGAAGAATTTTACAAACTGCGCCCAGAGGGTAAATATACAGAAGCTAAATAAAATCCACAATTGAAAGAGAATGTAGCAATGTACAGGGTGGCTATACAGAATTACAAAATTTACAGAATACGGTAACTAACTAAATAAAACTAATCCACAACATGTACATTAACATGTACAATTGTATCTACAGGTAAAATTAAAAATTCCGGCGGTAGAATATGGATTACAGAATTGTTTTGTTAAGTTTGAATTGATATGTCGATTACAAGAATTGGTCCTCAAACTCATCCAATTTAGCCCTCACTACCGAATCTATAGTCGATGAGATCTCGCTATAGTTGTCCACCTCTAGCGTGGGGTCCTTTGAGGTCGGGTGAGTTAAATTTGAGTCCGAAGAATTCTCGTGAAAGTGAGTCTTCGTGGTAGATGTTGCAAGTCTGACCGTCGGGAGGGAGTTCCTTGAAGACCAGGACAACGTAGTTTCTGCGACGAGAATCTGCGCTAATGGAGTCAAAAGGTCAGAAGGAGAGTTGACCGAGAAAGTAAACCTTTGGGAGTCCGGTGCCGGAGAGAATAAGGAAGTTGACGCCCCTAGGTCGTCTTTTTCTTGCACCATGTCTGTAAATCTCCGATTTCCGTAAAACTGTGGGGGGGGGGGGCACATTTCTGCGTGGTCTAGAGTTTCGGGTCTTTGGAGTCGCGCTGATCGTCTGTTCCGGAATACTGTCTACCATAATTGGATTGTCCTGTGATCCTTCAGTAGTATTCGCATCGTGGATGACAACAATCTCCCGTGGGTCGTTGTTCACTGTCCTTTCTGAGCTCAGTAGTAGGGATTCGACAGGACCTGTAATACTCAAGCCCTGATTAGACTCGGTATGGGGATTTTGAGGTACGTTATTATTGGTCACATCGTCAAAGTAATCCTCAATTATCCCGTCCCACGAATCTAGATTTAAGGAAGATGAACCTGAAGAAAATCTTGGAGAGTCTTGAGTGGCCGTGCTCGCGGTCGGTGCGCTAGTCCCTGCTCTGGTGTTCTCCGTTCTCGGGGTGCCTTGACTCGAGTGACCAGCGGGTGTCGATCCAGCTTTCTTCGGTGGAGAGAGTTTCCTTTTCCCAGCTAAACTCGAATGAGTATGAAGATTATGCCCAGTGGGTGTCTGATTCACTATTATCTTTTTGGGCCCTGGGAGTATTTTCCTTTTATAGCCAGATCCGATTTACGTAAAACGTGACCGTGGTCGAGAGTAACTGTGTGCTCTGAAGAATCGATGATATCCTTCTTAACCAGATTAAAATAAGGGTCCCTATTTTTCCTGTTAGACACCTTTCTATATAAGTTACCTCCCATTACTGCTTTTCTTTTTGCCAGTGGTTCTGAAGTTCGGATAGTGACGTCCGGGGTTGTGTTTAGGCTGAAAGTCCTAGCTAGTGGCATGTTTTTTTCTGGGTCCGACGTGCTGTCCTTTTCCTTGTCCAAATAGCTATCTTCTGCCCCGTCGTGTAGTTCCCAGTTAGTGGCCCGCTCTTTGGACATTATAGCCTTCCCTTTATCGAAATGGTCAATATTGGACATAAGATTTTTCCACCTAGTGTTCGCTACTCTATTAAAATGCTTTTCAAACGGATTACAGCCGATCGCAGTTTGTTTTGAGATTCTCAGATTCCAGATGATTTTCTCGATCGAATCGTTTAAAGATAGCTTGGATACTTCGAATGACATTGCCAGTAATTTCGATTTAATTGTGTACACTAGTCTTTCCACTAGCCCATTGGATCTGTGGTCTCCGACAGTGCAGTAAATAATTTCTATATTAAATTTATCGCAGAAGTTTTTGAAATCATGTGATAAGAAGCATGACCCATGGTCGACTCTAATTTTTCTTGGGAATCCGCGGAGGTGACAGTAATTGTTTAGAAATGAAATTACGTTTCTTGTAGAAGTGTTATTGGCGATCTTGGCCGAAGGAAACTTAGTGTAACGGTCAATGCAAAGATGAATGTATTTGTTGTTACCCCAGCACGCGTCTAACGGTCCCGCAAAATCCAAATTAATTTCTTCAATCGCGAATGTCAACGCCGGGCGTTTCGAAATATTATGGGTGCCTAGTAACACTTTAATGTTCTTACCCGCTTTTAGACATTGGTTAATGTTCTCCCGTGATGATAAATTAAAAGTTCCCCTGAAGGTAGCTGGGACGACTAGTTTATTGTCTAAAAAGAGTAGCTCATCCTTCACGTGTAGGTCTTTGGTGTAGTTCTTCATGTAAGTCCCGTTTATGCCCATAGGTCGATTCCTCTTTATCGTCTCTATCAAATCCCACAGCACCTTGTCTTCTCTAGTCATGATCTGAAGCAATTTCTTCAAACAGTAGTTTTCCGGGCGAATTGGGGAATTCGGTAAATTCAAGTCGGCCTTATATCTTTTTAAGAGGTCTGCGTGGTCGAGTGGAAGTCTGTCGTCTCTGAATTTGAGGGCGATATTATGTTCTTCGGGAATGATCAAAAGGGGTTCATTCACTTTGTCTATTGGGAGTTCTGGTTTTTTTTTGCTAGATGGTATGAAGTGTCTGTTTAGTAGTAAGAAATGTAAAAGGACTTTGTCCGAAAAAGTAATACTTTTAAAATTAAATTTAGAATTATCGACTGGATGGCAAATTGTAGTGCAATTTTCTGTCCGAGAGTGATTATTGTGGCAAGTTTTTATCGACTGAGCGATACAAGATATGATTGCAGCAATAATCTTGAGATTGAGTAAAGCTAAAGAGCTATTCAACCGATTCTGACCAATCACGTTGCTTGAATTTTCGTTTCCCGACGGGATTGTATTAACTCGTGGATTAGTATTTACAGCGACCGCTGGTCTATCTACAGAATTTACAGTAACTATTTTAGAATCTTGATTAGTCGATAAAATGTTCTGAATTTTGTCGATTGAAGCGACTACAAATTCGTCGTCATAATGGGAAATTTCAAGGGTTTTGCCCGAAGGAAGTCTAGAAAAAGGTCAGTAAAGCCCATGTCCTTTCCTGGTAAATGTGAAATTTTAAAATTGAATGGTAAAAGTCTGTTTACCCAACGGGTCAATCGGCTATGCATCGTTTTGTTTCCATGATTTGCCAAAAGTGCTGATAGTAATGCTTTGTGATCAGTTACTATTTGGAATTCTGTTCTGTACAGGTAGTTTCTGAAATGTTCTGTAGCCCATACGACTCCCAGCAACTCTAATTTGTTGGTAGAATATTTCATTTCATGGTTGTTTAAAAATCTGGATGCAAACGCGATTGTTTTCCACTGGTCGCCCTGTAATTGTTCTAGGGTTGCCCCTAGTCCGCTATGTGAAGCGTCCGTTTTTAGTCCTGTCTTCTCTTTTATATCGAAATGGCTGTTTTCTGCAATATTTACAATTTCCGTTTTCAACTTCTCAAACGCTATTGAATGGCTGGTATCCCATTTGTATAACAATTTTTTGTTTAGAAGAGGTCGAAGAGGGAAGCTTAACGTCGATAAGTTAGGGACGAACTTAACATATTGGTTTATCGAGCCGAAAAATGAACGAAGTTCAGAAATATTCTTCGGGGTTGGCAAATTTTTTATTGCGTCGGCTTTACCGACCAACGGTCGTACTCCATCGCCTGAGATCTTGAAGCCAAGCCATTGGATGTCAGATTTAAAAAATGCGCATTTCCCCCATTTAACTGCCATGTTGTTCTTATCTAATATTGATAAAATTTTGTACACTATTGATTTGTGTTCTTCCAGGGATCCACGCGAGGCTACCAGGATGTCGTCTATGTAACAATTTGTAAACGGGATATTTTTCAACAGTGAGTCCATGAACCGTTGGAATTCATTGGGCATGTCTCCTAATCCGTAAAATCCCGTTAGAAATCGATACGTTTCGGTCGTTTCGCCGCCTACTATGCTCAAATTGCACTGTTTACTTGTTTGATCGCATAGTTTAAGTTGGCTATAGGCGCTTTTCAGGTCTAAATTACTAAACCACACTCGTCCGTTGTAGTTTTCTGAAATTTGGAGCGCCACGTTATCAATCAGTTCATGGATATTCGGTATTTGACACTTATTTTTAAAAATTTGATCATTTAAAAGCTTAGAGTCAAGTGCCAGTTTTATTGAAGTATCTTTTTTCCGAGTGATTACAATTGGGCTGATAAAACAATCTTCGTCGCTTTTCTCTAATTTTATTATGTGACCTTCTTTCTCCATTCTTTTAAACTCTTCGTTCACTCCCGCGAGTAAGTGGAGTGGAACTCTTCTCCCTTTAGACTGTATTGGTTTAAAAGGTGTGTGAAAATGGGTTATCTTTCGATCGTTAGGTATTTTCCCCACTCTAGTGAATGAGTTTTTGAACTCGTTAAAAATTTTGTCTTATAAATAAGGTAAGTTTTTGTACTCACTCTCAAGTGTGGGTTGATTGACCATGCAGATTGGTTGGGGGCATTTCCTCTGCGTTATTTCTATGCCCAGTTTGGGTAAATTGTCGTTCCCCAATATGTTTTGCTCGTGTCCGCCGGTTATGAAGAATGGGGTTTCTTCGCTGATCCACCCATTGGACTGTGTTCTGACAATTATTTTTCCCAGAATATTGATCGTATCATTGGTGAATCCGCAGTATAGATCTTTTATTCTTTTCTCCACTGGGTGTATCTTGAGGTTCGGGTATCTTAGTTTAATTTCGTGTAGTAAATTCAGTTTTAAAAAACTTACAGGGATTGCTGAATCTACAGGTATGTTCATATTTACAATCATGTCCCAGCCGATGCCTAGGTTCAGGAGTTTCTTTGTTTCGAGACCATTATTGTCGTAATAAGTTCTGACGCTCAACACCGAGAAATCGTCATCGTCGCTCCGTCCGTATTCATTCCACGCATTTATAACGTCGCACGATTCTTTTTCTTCCATCCACGAGTTTTCCGGAGGTGTGTATATACAATTCTCAGTATTTACGTAATTATCTGATACAGTATTTACAGTTGGTCTCTTATTGCGTGATTTACATAATTTGGCGAAGTGTCCCTTATAATTACAGTTTTTACATGTTCTGTCTTTCTATGGGCAAACGTTTAAGTGCCCTTTCGTAAATGTATTTCCGCTTTTCATGCACGAGTTACTCCTTTCGATGTTTAAACTAGGTTCCTTTTTGATATGATTGTGGTTACTAAAAGATTTAAAAGTTGTCCCGTTGGTCGATGACCGTGATATATTTGTCAGTTTCTGGTGGTTAAAATATCCCTTTTCGTCGATTAGGGCTTGGTTAAGTGCTTCCGACGGGCTTATGGTAGCTGAAAGTAGCTTCCTCTGAGTGTCTGTGTTCTTCATATTGCAAATGATGATCTCCCTTATCCATTCCGCCTCGTCAGATTCCTTGATGTTGCACGTGCTGGCTAGGTCCGTCAGTGCTCCCCAGAATTGTTCGTACGACTCACGATCTTTTTGCTTTCGATTTAGTAGTTTATATCTTTCGAACGTAGTGTTGGGCGGTTTGTTAAATGCTGCGTCTAGTAGAGTCCAGAACTCAGAGAACGATATTGCTAGAATCTTGACTCTCGGTTTTTTTTGTGTAAAAACTCTTTTTCCTTCGCTCCCTAGGGCTAGAAATAAAATTGATCGCAGTTTCTTGTCCGCCTCCGTTCGTCTCAATCCATTAAATTTCCTCTTCTCTTCGTTGATCCGTTTCTCTTCTGCGGATTCGTACTGTTTCATTGTGCTTTTGTTCCTGCTCTCTCTCTTGGCTTTTTCCGCGTCCGACTCGCTGCCTGTTGCTTGTTCCAAAATTGGAATTTGTGTCTCGGGTATCTCTGGTCCATGTAGGCTCTCTAAATCCAGATTGGAATTGGTCGCTCCATTGGGTCCAGGCATGCGGTGGCTCTAGAGTGTGATTAGGCCAAAAGGGGGGAATTTCACGCACGTTCGAATCATTTGACTGCGCCATAATAAACTAATCTAATTCTATGGTTCTATATGTACAAAGTATGTACATAAGCTTAAAGGTTAAAACGTTAAGAGGAAGTAGTTGAATTAAGAACGTTAAAAAGGACCAACTGAACTTTCGTTCATATCGACCGATGGTCGTAACTAAACTTGTATTAATTAAAATACCGAAGGTCATTTAAGATACTAAGAACAAATCACAACAACTTGCGAAGTCCTTAAAGTTCCTCTTCTTACAAAGATCTCTTCGCGTCACCACATGTTATACAAGCATCAGTTTTGTGGGGTCATCAATGATTTTACAAGTTTTTCCTGTTTGTTTCTTCTGGTTCTTAACACCCTGTATTCTGTTTTTTTTTCTGTAGTGACAGGAGCGATGATTATCCTGTTCAAAGCACTGCCCAATGTCGACTCACCTCAAAATGGGAGCTGGTTGTGGTTGTACTGTCGTCTCTATTGTTCCGAGCTGCCCCTCTGGTTCCTGATCAATGTGTCTGTGATGAATCTGTGTCTAATCACTCTGGACAGATATCTGTCTGTGGCCAGGCCCCTCTACCACAAGAACTATTTCTCACGCAACAGTTCGCTCGCATTGCACGTCGCAATCATCTGGACCTTGGGATTGGCAGGTTGCACATTTTATTGGCTCGAAAAAACGCAGAAAAAATAGCTATTTTGTAGATTCTTTCAACTTTTTTTTAACAGATCAGTTAATTTTTTTCTCGTTATTTGATCCTCGTCGTTCAAAATTTAAAAAAAAAATCTTAACGAACTGTTTGCACTTTTTTGTGTTTTCACTTCTATACAAATATCAGCTCTCTAAATAACCGTTTTAGCCAAATTTTTTCTTTACCATAAGAACTAGTTGCACATATTCTGAGTGCACATCTAATCAATATCGGCTGCTATCATTTTTTGTAAAACATGGGGACTTGAAAAAAAAACTGAAGTTATCTTCAATTCATCTAATACGATTAACACGAATTAGCCGGACTCTGAACTCATGGCAAATTGAGCTGAGGTCAGCTAATTGAGTCAAACATCTCATTACCAAACTAAAAAATTCCTTGAAATTGTTTAAGGGAAGTTAAGGGAAGTCCTCGGAATGATGTTTTTATGAGTTTCATGATGCTTTTGATCAAAAAAATTGTTTCAAACGTTGATTGAAATTGGAATGTTTGAAGCTTTTCCCCTCTGGAACTGACTTTTCAAATTCGGAAAAGAATAAAATCTGAAGCATAAACTTAAGAGACCTGTTGTGATATCTTCAAACCTCTGTTTCCAATCTTTCAAAACAGCTTTCAAGAACCAATTTGATCTTAAGAGCCCTTGATAAGATGAGTTAACCCGTATTGAACAAATTTTGAAAAAAGAGACTTAAAATAAAACTTATTTTGTTCGCCTCTCACTTTATTTGCCTCAGAACTACAATGTGAAGGTTGTTTTTGTTTGCTTCAGTGTCCAGCTACAACTTGTTTTTGTGGGTTATTAAGTCGGAGGATGAAGATGATGGTGATGATGGGGATGGGGCTATGTGTGAGGTTAGTAGGGCGTTGCCCTCTTGGTTCTGGGTGGCAACTGGCTTCTGGACTCTATTTGGAATGCTGCTCTTCCCCTTCATGTTCATGCTAGTTGTCTATGTCCACATCTACAACATACTGCTCCAAATGCCAATCAACATAAAAGGCAATATTCAGTGGATGACATTGAAAATGCATCATACTAAATTTAACTTATCGTGTCTTTTGAAAAATTCGAAAATTGTGAAATTTTGCAGTTAACGTTTTTGAAGCAAATTTTATCTCATTTTACTAACTAAGTTCGGTTAATGGCTTTAAGCCCGAACAGTTGCCCTATGTTTTATTGGATGCATTTCATAGAAATATCTTTATACCATGCTTTGGTCAAATTTCTGGAAAAATCTCAAATTTTTAGGGTCCTTAAACTACACAAAGCTGCTGAATAACCAATTAACACAGGGGCGGATCTAGGATTTTCTCGAGGGGGCGGGGGTTTTTTAAAAAGAAATCGAAAATTTTTACGACTTTTTTTTTTAGGTCAAACAAATTGGTTTTTTGAGCTCTCCCAAAGCACTGTTTTGCCCATATTTTGGCAAAATTTTCTGCGCCGCAGGCAAATTTTTGTGAAAAAAAAAGTCAAAAAAGGCGTTTTTAGGCACTTTTTCGAAAATTTTGACCAAAAAATTGCGTTTTTTCGGCGCGCGCTCCCCCCTCAAAATTAGTAAATATTGGCGCCAAAGGCGCCTTTAGAAAAATTTTAGAGTCGGTCGGCCAAAAGTGGATTGCTTAAAAAGTACCAAAGGGGGACCCTTTGGGTCGGCAGGGTGTCGAATCCCTGAGGGGGGGGGGAAGGGGCGTCCGCTTCTCCCCCCCACCCCCCCTAAATCCGCCCCTGAATTAACATACGTTTTTTCTCTGCATCAAAACTGGTTTTTCTGCTTAATTTCAGGTATAACTTTTTTCAAGCTTAAAAGAAATTTCATAACTGAAAAAGAATAAAATGTACATTAATTGCTGTGTGTGATCAAACTTGCTTCAAAGAAGGCTGAAAGGTGATAAAATTAGCTTCAAAAATTTTCGCTAGAAAGATTTTTGTTTCGCTTACCATTTTTGTTCGAAGAAAATGACGGAGTATTTGCGCTCCCGTGGTTTTTATTCAGACAAATGTCAATTTTATAAATAGCTAATTTTGACAAAAACTTTGAAAATTTGAAATTTTTTGTATATTACTGGGGGTTTCAAAACTAAATTTATGGAATATTCAACGTGCAATATACTTATGATATCAACACGAAAGCGGCGAATTAATCCGGCTTAGAAAATTTTTCGAATTTAACTGAGGAAGGCTAGTTCTTCTCACTAACACTTCATTGAATACTAAAAGAAATTCTATTAGAATTTGAAATAGCGAGTTAGGCAAAAGATTTTCAAAAAGAAACTTTAAAGTTGAAAAATTGTTCAATTATGTAGATTTTTTCTAACTGAGCACTTTTTCATACATGTTGCAGGGCAGTTAAACCATAACCGTTTCAAGTTATTTTATGGAACAAACATTTTCAACTTTTTAGGTTTACTTTATAGATGATCAATTTTTAGAAAAGAGACAGCTTCTACTTAATTTTCAAGAAAAAAAAAGAACCAAAAACTTTCGTCACATCGAAAAACTTCAGGACTTTAAAGTCAAACCAATTGATGAGAGACTCGACTTTTGCTTGACAAAGTTATTCTCAAAAATCTTGTATCTGAATTTTATAGAGTTTTGAAAACAATTTCAAAGTAATTCTTTTAGACATCAAAAAATCACTGTTGCGTTTTCTCAAGGAAATCAAGTATTGTTGAAAAATAATGGTCCCAGTGAGGCAGAATTTTCCATATTTCCCTTTATCGTAAGACTATTATCTTTTAGAACGAATTGTTCATACCGGATAAGGCAAATTAAAAAATCGAAATAATCAGGTTAAGTTGCAGGTAGCAAATTGCATGTCAACAAAAATTAAGGGAGAAAAGAAGCTATAAAATAGACAAAATTATTTAAAAACTCTCGAGACAAACAAATTTTTAACACTTTTCTCAGCACTTTTTTCTCTGGTCTGCAAACAGCAGTTTTCAATCTATTTGGTAGTTTTTCATCCAGAAAATTTCTATTTTTTAAGCCAGTCATTTCAAAAATCATTTTAAAAATTATAATCTGAAAGTTTTTAATAATTTCTACTCAAACTGAAAATAATGTTAATTTGGGGGTTTTAAAATTGACAATTTGGTAAAGTTAACGCGCGATATACTTCATGCTATCAACGATATGCTTCATGATAGGTGCTTTCATCCTGCTGAGAAATAATTCCAGACTCAACTGAGGCAAGTTAGTTTTTAAATTAATACTTCATTGTGTGCTAAGTATATCACTTTAGTTTTTAAATAGCGTGTGGAGGCGGGAGGGGGTTAATTTCCGAACAAAAATACTTTAATTTTTTTTTGATTTAAACCTATTTTCAAATGTACAATACATTTATGTGATACAGGTAAGATACAACAATATCATTTAAAATTTTATTTTTGTTTTCCACCGAGCACACAGTTTTCAACTTCATATATCTGTTTTTACAACCCATCAGTTTATAGAACAATTTACAGAAAAAGCAAAAATAATTTTTTGAAATGTGATAGTTTCTATTTCTATCTTTCGAGAAAGAAAATGTCAAACTTTCAGGATTTTAGCTCAAAAAATTAAGTTTGAATCGCTCACACCGGATATGGCATATCAAGAAAAGGATCAGTTTTGTCAATCGATGTGTTCAAAAAAAATTAATATTTTTTTCCAGTTGCATGTTAATTTCGTATAACCTCTTGGTTGTTCAAGCATGTCTAGGAACCTAGGAACGAATAAATTTATGAACAATCAAATATATAAATTAAACTGCACATGTTCCTGGATTAAACTGTTTCAGTTTTTTTCTAAAATGTAAAATCAGTTTAGTTTACATCAAACTGATCGTATCTCAGCAATGCGTATCTATTTTTTTTTCTCTGACTTGCAAAGAATAGTATGCAGTATTTTTTACAGTCAGTGATCATTATATACAGTAAACACATCCAGAACAAATAAAAAGTGGACAACCTCCTGAACTGGACAGTGTAATTTTTTTTAATTTGCTTGCTCTCATTGTAACACAAAAAACGAAATTTTCAGCGTTTATTGTTCCGACTTTCGATACGACAGTAACGGAATATTTGTGCTCGGGGTGGGTTTTATTTCTTCAGACAAATTTCAACTTTTTAACTAGCCATTTTTGACGGAATTTCTTTTACATCATTCAAAAGCTATTGTTGTCCTGAGCTTAAATTTGAAAAGGTATTTCACCTGTGATCATTTTTCGTAAAGTTACGGGGGTTTAAAGATTGCCATTTTGGCCAATTTGAGACAATTAACGCGCGATATATTTCGCGCTAATAACGCGTAGGCGGAGAGTTAATCCGTCTTAGAAATCGTTCCAAATTGGTTAAAAGAAGCTTATTTGCCATAAATGGTTTGTTACAAGGAGCGAAATCAATCCGTTTGTACTTAACATGGTGTGTGGGGTGATGTTTTGACAAAAAATCTCAAGCTTTTTGGAAATTTTTTTTTCAAATTTTAATTTTACGTTTAAATTTTCCATGTTCTTACTGCTCCATAGACCTTAAAAGGCGATCGGAACATTCAGGGCTTCACACTGATACGAGCAGTCTTGTTTACTTTTATTTTTGCTTGAAACACAGCGGAAACGTGACAAAAATGCTGCAGAGTTTTGAATCAAACGTATCCGAAATGAAATAGTTAAACAATAATATATCAGCAAAATATGTTCTCTTCAAGATTTCCTTCAAAACCTCTTGCAAAGAACCGCTGTCTTATCAGAGAGCCATCTGTTTTGTGAAGTTTGCACGCGAATTAACTTTTTGGTGAAACGAATTTCATTGCAGGCATTTAAAACTGTAGATGAAACTCAAAAACATGTTGAAAAGTTCACCAAATCAATAACAACTTTTTTAATCAATTGTTACAAAGGAAACTTATATATTTTTTTGTTGACATTTTTTATTCAAAAGTTTGACAATCTACAAATCAAAACATTTTAAGCAAAAAGGTTGCTTAACTCTTTTTTTTCTGTTTTTAATTAGTCGCCTGAGTGTTAATCTTGAATTTTCTGAAGAGCAGACATCTTTATTTGGTTGTGCAAATTGTTTTTCTGGTTTTTGCTAAGTTTTCAAAAAATCGTCAAAACGCTTCTGTGGTAAGGAGATGTAATGCTGTAAGATCAATTGAAAAGGAGATAGTTTCAAGAGTTTAATTCAATCTGAAGTTTTGTTTTCTCTCATAATAGGCGGTTCCGTGAACCAGCTCATTTTGTCGTATCATCGTACGTAGAGCTAACGTAATAAATAAGGTCTATTCAATGATCAACATTGTATGACCTTGACTTAAGTTTAATAACAATATATATATGTACAGAAACCGATATGCGTCCCAAGGTTAGTGTGCAGCGAGGTTATTATGATTACTGCACATGCAGTATGTGCGCTGTACCACACTACCCCTGGGATAACTAAATTTCATATAGTATACGTATAAAATTTAGAAATAACTATGAGTTTTAATACTCAGCTTAATCAGGTTTAAACAAATGTTTTAGTTTCCGCAGGTGCTCTCGCCTTTTAATGTTCCTCTGTTTTGTTTTGATCCTCTGTCAAACTGTCATCGAAGGATAGGGGGACCCGCCATGCAGCATTCCAGGTTTTTGTAATTTCCAGTGCCTCACTGCCAATTTTTTGTCGGAAAAGATGTTTTTCAAGCAATCCCAGTTTTGTCTCCACTGGTGTGTTTTCGTCAGTTTTGAACGTTGCCAGTTTAATCCTGTATGCTTCTAGTGCTGCTTTAATGAGATCTGTTATATCGTGTTCTGAAGTAATAAATTTGACCGAATGTTTGACAGGTTTTCCATAATGACTAAGACTTTTATTTTTTGTCTGTCTTTCGCTGCGTCTAACAGGTACATCGCTCTCGCCTGGTTCGTCTGAAAAACACGGGGGTGCGTTGTTTCCTTGATCGCCGCTCGTTTCCACATTTTTCAAAATAGTTTCTGCAGCTTTTTGGACTCCCCTTGTCAGAACCTGGTCGGGTAAGAGATTCCA